TGTCACGTCTACCCTTAGGAGCTCCTTGCACTCGCAAGGCTCCTACTTCTGACTTACTGTGGAGCCTTTCCAGCGTGTGGAGTTCTATTCCATTTCCCCTCCCCACCCTCTCCCCTTTGTAAAACTATACTTAAAATATACAGATATTGTCAAAAGAAAACACCAATTCATGACACATCCATCTCGTTTGTAAATACAGTATTCGTAATGACTGTTTTTAAAACGCACAGATGTAATCAAAAGAAAATATAAATTCCTGACACATCAGTCGCTTTCATGAATATTCACCTCTGCTCCATTTCATCTGCAACTATGGGGAATCCTTGTTTGTGAGTTTGGGGGCTGCCTTGCTGATTGTGGCCGGGCATGTTTTCAAATCCTTCATTTATTTATATATCATATTTGTTAGTTGTGGTGGCATACATGATTTTCTTCCTCCCCATTTTATTGTCTCAACAACCTTGTGAGGTTGGTTAGGCGGAGAGGCAGTGACTAGCCCAAGGTCACCCAGTGAGTTTCATGGCTGAGCAGGGATTTGAACCCTGATCTCCCAGGTCCTAGTCCAGCACTCTAGCCGCTATGCCACACTGGTTTACTTAGTTACTATCCACTTCCAGGTTCATTGCAAAGAACGATTTGCAACTATTTGTGTAGCAGCTTTTCTAATGTACCTGATTGGTCCCGGGAGGCATATATTCCAGCCCTGCTAAACAGTATAGTTTGGATGCAAACAAGCTTGCTGTTTGAGCCAATGTAGCATGTCGCATAATCAGAGTAATTAAGTCCCCAATGAGTCTGCACTGGTGCAAGTATAAAGAGGCAGATCATCTCGATGCTCAGTGAAAGACAATAAAAGCATTTGATTTAGAAAGTGCATTGTAGCCACTTTCCATTGAAGCAAAAGGTGTGTTGTGCCTGGTAGATTGAAATCAATTAAGTGTATTGTGTTGCCTGTAGTTGCACACTGTATTGAGTCTATGCTAAGTGGATGTTTGCAAAGCAGCTAAAAGGGTTTTGCATTTAATGATGTGTTTACATCTCTCTGCTCCTTTCCTTGCAGTGTCATAATTACAGTCGAGGTACATCCTGGATGTGTTTGTATTCAGCCTCTGTGAATTAAATGGACCTGGTACCCTTAAATACAGCCCATCCTTTACTCTTGACTCCCCCATCCTTCTCTGGAAAGAAGAGAAGCTCAGTTGCAGGCCTGTACTAAGAACCCTGCCAGAGAGCTGTATAAAACCCCGTAAAATAAGCCTGCTAAGTTACCAACACCTATGGGACATTTAAATCCACTAGTCAATGGCTGCATGACCTCCATGCCAATAATAACCATAGCAGCAACAGTCATATTCAGTCCTCAAATGATTCTTTTCCAGGAGCAGCTGAAATCTGCAGCTTTTAAGGGGCATGCAAACTGAGCACATTTGCACCCTGCTTTTTATTTTATGCAATTGATTCAGAAAGTCTTACGATTTGCATCATTTATTCTGGTTTGGCAAAACCTTTTCACGTTCCATAATGGGGTGGTATTATAGCAACAGGGATACAGAATCTTGTGCTACCAGACCAACAGGGAAATTCAGCAGCAATCACGACTCCCTGTCATAAAGAGCCGTCACTATAGACATTATCAAAGTTGACTATTCATAAATCTGACTCCTGGCTGGAGGGGAAAAACCCTTTCAGACAAAATTCAGGACAGTCAGAGGCTCTTGAAATGATTTTAAAACTCAGTGTGGCTTTTAGAACAGTTATCTAAAGGCAGATGGAATTAGTTTAGATGAGTTAACATGAGGAATCAGATAGTCCTGGGGCCCCATCCTTTTTCTTGTACATTCATGTGTTCATGATGTTGGTAGTTATATGCCACCTTGCTTTCAATACCGTTTTGCTTGCAAAAGTTTCCAGGTGGGCATACTGTTTTGTTTCCAATCAGTGTGCATCCCATAACTTCCCAATGAAATCTTGTAGCCTTTATATACCGCAAATGTTCGGGTGTGTGTGTTGTTTTTAACTGGGGTTGTTTGTTTAAAATCATTTATGAACCACTTAATAAAAAAATATCTGTTGTGCCATCATGCAAGTGTCCCTCCAGATGGCAATAAAAGGATAATGTTGGGAAGGCATCATGGAACAGCTAAGAAAGTGGAATGTGTGGCTGGTCCAGTATAAACCCACCATTAATCCACTATTATTGCACCAATGACATGCTGCAGAATACAGTGGTGAAAAAACCTCCGTGCATCTGGATGGGCTCCTGTTAAAAAACAAATCTTCCCATCTCAGACTACAGTCGCAGTTCATCCCTGTGGATATAACTAAAATCTTGGGATACTCAATACATGGAGGAGGGACGTCAGCCGGCCTGATATTGACCTCCATGATCTGCTTACCCCATTCACTTAGATTCTGTCTGAATATTGCACCAAGCAGAACTGTATTATATGATCTTAGCAGCTTAGACCTATCAGAATGTTTTGGGCCAGGTGAAGTTTCTCGACTGTCTTCAAGGGAAGGTGCATGCATTGCAGCAGTAGAATCAGAAAATCACTGAGGCATGAATGACATCAGGCAGATCTTTTGTCTTCTGGAAGGAAAATCACCTGAAGCTGCTGAGAGAAGCATTTCAGGCCACAGCTGTTACCTGGGCTGCCAGGAGTAAAACTAGACCCAAAGAGCTTTGAAACTACAAGCCTGATCCTTAAGTGGTGATGAGAGGGCATGTCCAGGTTGCCACTCAGTAGAATTGAGCAGAAGCACACACCCCGCCCCACCTCCTGCAAATGCAACAGGGCTGGTTTCCTACATATTGAAGTAAATAAAGTAAATAGCTTCTAAAGCAGCTGTCCTGGTGCCTCCCAGATGCTTTTGGCTACAGCTCTCATCAGCCCCAGCCAGCGTGCCTGTGCTCCCATTAGCACCAGCATTAGTCATTGGTGTTAGCTGGGACTGATGAGAATAGTAATTCAAAACAGCTTGGGGGCACCAGGTTGATAAATGCTGATCTAAAGGGTGGGGTTTCCTTAAGGCTACTAAGGCCTCCCCAATGAGACCACAAAGTTCATGTTATTTGGACCAAGGATTAGTGTACAGTGGTACCTCGGGTTACATGTGCTTCAGGTTACATACGCTTCAGGTTACAGACTCCGCTAACCCAGAAATAGTACCTCGGGTTAAGAACTTTGCTTCAGAATGAGAACAGAAATCGTGCTCCGGCGGCGCGGCAGCAGCAGGAGGCCCCATTAGCTAAAGTGGTGCTTCAGGTTAAGAACAGTTTCAGGTTAAGAACAGGCCTCTGGAACAAATTAAGTACTTACCCTGAGGTACCACTGTATTATTAACTCACACTCTATCCATCACCGATTGTGGTCAGCTACTCCCATTGCTAGTATTGGAATGAGTCTCAACTGCCAATCACATTAGCTCTACGACATGAAATGGGGGTGACAGTGTTGTGTCTCACACTGGTTTTTTGCCTCAGGCAGCAAAATGTCTCCAGCCATTCCTGGTTCTGTGAAAATGTCTCCTGCTTAACTGTAGGGGTAAAGGGCCTGGCAAGAGGTTCTTTTAAGACCCTTGAGATCTCAGCCATCTAACAGATTATATTAGGCACAGCTCCTCTCAATCAATTTGTAAAAGAAACTCATTTTGGTTTAGCAATTCAGGTTTGGCAAGGTCAATTATTACAATGAGCTTCCATGCCTTTTCATGTTGCTGTGTTGTTCTGGTCTTAAAAGCTTAACTACCGTAATAGCTCATAATAGCCTTCACCAACTGTATGATAAAAGTAAACAAAGGCTGGGGGGGTGTCATGCCTAGCCCTGACCTGGTAACAGACACATAAGAACAGCCTGCTGGATCAGGCCAATGGCCCATCTAGTCCAGCACCCTGTTCTCACAGAGGCTAACCAGATGCTTGCAGGAAACCAGAGGACAATGGAGACATCCCAGTGGTTGAAGACCTTGGAGCAGCAGGCAGGGTCTTCTGAAACAGCTGCTGAGGATCCTCATGCCTTGAGAGTCCCTCTGATGGGAGACCTGCTGAAAAAATCTGGGAGCAGCCAGAGGAAGTGGAGTCACTCACCAGACCTTGAGAACACCAGAAGTCCAGACCAAAAAGCAATGACATAGCATGTATCTATGGACCCAGAGTAAGAACTCCTGAGAGAGTGATCTCTTCTGAATGAACAATCCCTGAAATGTTTTCACTACCAGCAGCTGTGGTCAGGAGGCTCATATATAAGGATTGCCTCTTGAACCTACCAGTTTGTGGAAGCTACAAAGGTCTCTAGCTCCTTGTTCCCAAGCTTAGTCCTACCCACTCCTTAGTGAGCTGCACCTTGCTTGGGCACCCTGTGGCCTTGACTATTGCTTCACTTTGTCCCTGGTTCATGCATTGAACCTGAGCTGATTCCCTGTGCTTCAGCCTAGCTCTGTTTCTTTGGACTGCACTGGACCTTCGAGACTGCTCTTCTGGGTGAGTGTTTGTGTAAGAGGCATGCCTCTGGGGACTGGGCTATGGGCTCTTGAGGGTTTTCAAAAGGGGAGGCAAGATAATTCTTAATATTTGGCATACTCCATTGAAAGCAGGAGTGTTGGTAGATTGGATGGGGGACCCACTTGTGCTTTGAGTTACTGTAGGCTTTGTGTAATCTGATACACTGCCATATTGGGAGAGAACAGGATACTTGGCTTTTAAGGCGCCCCTAATCAAATAGGCAATGCTGACAGGAAAGACAGTAGTATGGTTTGGCACAAAGCCCAGTCAGGGACTCTGGACAGTGTTGAGTCTTGATTGATGTTGACTGTTTGGAAGGTACAGCTGGGAATCTATTGCGTCGATGTGCCATTATGCACTGCTTCCAATTTGCTAATTGACTGGCATCTTCTATGCAGCCCAGTCATGACTCAGTGATGGTCAGACTAAGGCTTTCCCAGATATTAAAAACACAAAGCAAGTTGAGGAAGGGAGAGTTTCCATTTTCCTCAATGCTCCCACCCAGTCATCTTTGATTGCTTGCTGTGTCAACTCGGAAGGCTGCTAAAACCGCTCTTGTGTGGGTTTGGACCAAGAAGGTTTTGTTTTGTTGTGTTTGAGCAGGAGTGACACAAGAAGTTTAATTACATTATTTGCCAGAGTCATGGTTCCCCAAGGTTCTGGCACTTTCTGAGGTGTTTCGGAATTCATAGCAAGTCTTGCAAGGAAAAGGAGGGTAGAGAAGATCAGGTCTAGATCCAGGATGATGTAGGCCTTAGAGGGTGAATCTTCTGTGGCTCCTCATAAAACTGCCCTCCTGATGCTGGAATGGCACCTGGAATGAAATATGCTAAGGATAAAATATTCATTATCACAAGAACTGTCTCCATTGAGTCATTTACAAGCTGCCAGCACCTGCCATGGGATAGGTCAGCTTTCACTGGTGGGCAGCTATTCTTCAGAATGACCAGTTCCGACTAAGGTTTTTGCTGTACTGATTAGAAATGCCCTGTGGTAATTCTCAGTAAATTAGCTAAGGCTGAGGTGAATCTCAAATAACTACCACTTTGTGGGATATTTTTTGGCCTTGGGGTGTAGACCAAGTGGGGGGTAGGCCAGTCTTTCCCAACCTGGTTGCCCTCCAGAAGTTTTGGACTACAGTTCCCATCAGCCGTAGTCAGCAGAGCCAATAGCTGGGGATGATGGCAGTTATAGTATGAAACATTTGGATAGTGTCAGGTTGAGGAGCTGGGCTAAAGTATAAACTTACTGATAAACATATGATATAGGAAGGGTAATTTTTTTCATCACATCTCATATCTGCAAGCCTGTGGCAAGTAAGAAACTGTGCTTATGTTTTGTTTTTTTCTCAATTGCTGTGTTACCAGCTTTCATACCTGCATATCAAGCATGAGCAAGATGTGTGTGTGTAAAATTGAATGACCCCGAATATATTTCTGTTGTCTTAGGACTAGTGTATGGGAAATTGAATGGCCCCTCAGAATGAAATAATTTGACCTCAAAACAAATGGTCTGGCTGTAATCAAATTGGCCTTACTTAGTTGCAACTAGGTATGAGGAGCACATGCTCAGATGTCATGGAGTCATTAATTGGTAGGGGTTGGGGAGGCTGAGAAACAGATATATTGGGTGTGGTGGGAGAACCCAAGAAAGGCAGACCAGCAGTGGTTCCTTGCTTTTCCTGAATGTGTTTGACTGGGGTGGGGAAAATGTGGTCCTCCAGATGTTGGTGAACGCCAACTCCCATCAGTCCCAACTAACGTAGCCAGTGGTGAGAATGATTGGAGTTGTAGTCCAGCAAGATCTGGAGGACCACAGGTTCCCCACCCTGGTGTATGATATAGCAGTATAATAAAACATATATAAAATAGTTTCATTGATTCTGTCCTTGCACATTACACTAAGAGTAACTTTAAAAGCACACCTCGGTTAAAACTGATTAGGGCTTCTGGAGTCCAGATAAAGTTTATCCAAGGCCTCTCTGTTGGCAACCAATTGTCCATTCCTGATAAGGGTAAACTCTTGTGTATGGAGGGAAGGAGAGAATTTCTCAAATGAATGACTGGAGGAGGCTTGCCAATGTGCTTGATGAGATTTAGGAAGCCTTTGTTAGGCTTGCTTTTTGAATCTGTGTCATCAAACGTAGGGCTGCATGCTTTTTAATTGGCAGTTTCAGTTTTTGTTGGCGGATCATTGAGGTCACATTTTAATCAGCAGAGCTTCAAGCTGAGGGCACACCTGTTTAATTTTGAGTGCATTTTGGTCCAGGTATGTTACTGCAATAGGGAATAATAAAGCAAATATTAAGGATGGCCCTTTGGGTGTATTAAACAGCAAGTTATGTCAAACCTCTGCCAGCACCTTGAAAAGGCCTCCCTACAGAGGGTTTGGTGAATATGCAGATCAATTTGTATTTAATTGATTAATTAAAAGGCAAATGATTAAACCTCTACAGTTGTCGAATTGGTTGGAAGCTCTAATTAAAAGCCATCAAATGGCGCTGCTTGAATTGTGCTTCTGATGATTTAATATTTGATTCCGTTGCTGTTTTTTTTTTTTTTAATGTGATATGACTTATTATGATGGTTTTTGTAAGCTGCTTCAGGAAATGTGGAGAGGTAGGGCAGAAGAATGTTTTAAAATCAAATAAACCTTCCTTCCAAAAGCAACTCCCACGTATCTACGTGTTTCCTAAAAGATCTCCCCATAAATGGAGTGAAATGGAGCACTTTCGGGAAAAGCAAGAACTGGCATGGGATGGAAATATGGTGAGCGATCTATCCAAACCAGGCCCCTTGGCAGAAACCCCTGGGCTTTATTCCTGTGAAGATTCCATATGAAAAGCCAGGCTGAACTGGCCCAAAGCCCCCTCTTAGTCTGACATCCTGTTCACAGTGGCCGACCAGATGCCCATGCAAAACCCACAAGCAAGAGCAGCCTCTGCGCCTGTGATTTCCAGTAACTGGTATTCAGAGCCATACTGCCTCCAACATTTGAGGTAGAACCCTAGCTGTCACAGCTAAAAGCCACTGGTAGCTTGACAGCCTTATCCTCCATTAATTTGTTTAAGGTAAAGGTAAAGGGACCCCTGACCGTTAGGTCCAGTTGTGGACGACTCTGGAGTTGCGGCGCTCATCTCGCTTTATTGGCTGAGGAAGCCGGTGTACAGCTTCTGGGTTATGTGGCCAGCAGGACTAAGCCGCTTCTGGCGAACCAGAGCAGTGCACAGAAACGCCGTTTACCTTCCCGCCGGAGCGGTACCTATTTATCTTTGATGTGCTTTCGAACTGCTAGGTTGGCAGGAGCAGGGACCCAGCAACAGGAGCTCACCCTGTCACAGGGATTCAAACTGCCGACCTTCTGATCGGCAAGCCCTAGGCTCTGTGGTTTAGACCACAGTGCCACCCGCTTCCCATTAATTTGTTTAGTTGTCTTCTAAAGCCAACTTTTGCCCCAGTGGCCATTTTGCCCCAGTGTGCCTCACTTTACTCTTCCTTACACTGAATTGCATTTGCCATTTTACTGCCCATTCACCCAATTTGGAAAGATCCCTTTGAGGATCTTAATAATCCCTATTTGTTTTAAGCATCCTGAACAATTTGGTGCCATCAGCAAATTTGACTACATCACTGCTCACCCCTAACTCTAGATCATTAACAAATTAAAAAGTGCAGGTCCAAGTATGATTTGTTGGAGGAGCTGACTTTCTACGTCCCTCTCCATTTATTCCTAGTTTCTGCTTCTTAACCAGTTACTGATGCACAAAGCACACTTCTCCTTTTAGTCCATTACTGCCAAGCTTATGCAGGGAGTTTAGGGGAGGTTGTTTATCAAACACTTTTTGAAAGTACAATGCCAAATCTCTGTTCTGTGCAATGTCTAGCATAATAGATTTAAATAATAGGGAAATAAGTTGTGGGCTAAATATTTTGTGTTTCAATATCAGATACGATTCTTGCTATGTGGAAAGGTCTCTTCACGTTTGACAAATTGGTGCTTTTATGGATGAATAAGAAAATACATCATCATCATCAATTGTTTTGCTAGTACCCCTCCTCCCTTTTGGTGAATGCCTATTCTTTAAATTATTCATGTTTTCCTTTCAACGGTGGCCATTCATATTTATGTACGCACAACTGTGTGTCCTGAATATGTATTGCTGCATAATTTATCCTGCTTCAGGTTGCCATCATGCTAACAATTACATCTGTCTCTGGCTGGCAGCTTTAATATGGTGCAGCTTGCTTTGCAGTCGTGCTCTGCCCTGTCCATATCACGACTGCATAAATCATACAGGAGGAGAGAAAGCCCTCTAAGCAAGTTCTCAGATCTTTTGGAGCTGAAAAAGAGAGCAGGATTATACCTGCAATAGCTACCTGGTTCACTGTCTGACTAGCTAAACCTACTTGGGACAAGCTGTTGGTGCTATGGGTGGTGCCTAGTCTTGGAGGTCCTGGGCCACAGGGAGGTTAGGCTGGCCTCAACCAGAGCCAGGGCTTTTTCGGCTGTGGCCCTGATCTGGTGGAACGCTCTGTGACGAGAGACTAGGGTCCTGCGGGACTTGACATCTTTCTGCAGGGCCTGCAAGACAGAGCTGTTCCACCAGGCCTTTGGCCAAGGCACAGTCTGACCCCCTCCTTTGGTAATCCTCACAGAGCTCTAGCCCAATGGTTGCCATTAATTTGATTTTGAATTGATTTTAAAATGAATTGATTTTAGTATGCTGTGTTACTTTTCTTGTTGTTAGCCGCTCTGAGCCCTACCTTGGCTGGGGAGGGCAGGATATAAATAAAAATTTTTTATTATTATTATTATTATTATTATTATTATTATTATTATCATCATTAATGGGAGTGGGCCTAAGTATGATGAACTTTAGCAGCAGCCCATCCCATTTTGCCACCCGAGGCACCCTCTATTTCCACTTTGCGCTGGAACTCCCCCACTCTGGCTGAATTTGGCAAGAGGGGGAGCATTCCACTAGGCCTTGACGCTTGTCTTCTCTGTCCAAGGGCCAGGGGAGATGAGTGGCAATGCCATGTGCCAGAATGCTCCCTGCAAGAGGGGGCATTCTTCCAGTGGCAGAAGCAGTGGGGCAGGTGTGGTGCCACCTCTTGCACATCTGCCGCCTGAGGCAGCCACTTCACCGCCCTCCCGCCAATGAGCGAACCAATTTTCTTAGAGAGCATGCAGTTTTGTCTTCTGGTCTCTGTTAATGTTGCCTCTCTTCCTTCAGAGCCTGTATGGGGAGCCTTTGGCTCTCTAGCTCAGGGGTAGGCAACCTAAGGCCCAGGGGCCAGATGCGGTCCATTCGCCTTCTCAATCCGGCCCGTGGATGGTCCGGGAATCAGTGTGTTTTTACATGAGTAGAATGTGTCCTTTTATTTAAAATGCATCTCTGGGTTATTTGTGGGGCATAGGAATTCGTTCATTATTTTTTTCAAAATATAGTCCGGCCCCCTACAAGGTCTGAGGGACGGTGGACCAGGCCCACGGCTGAAAAAGGTTGCTGACCCCTGCTACCTGTTGCTGAGCTGCAGCTCTGATCATCTCTGACCATCTGTCATGCTTGCTAATGGGCATTGCACCTGAGCAGCAACCAGAGTTGCTTGGGTCCCCACACTTGTATTAGAGTCATAGCTGTCAACGTTTCCCTTTCTTTAAGGGAAATTCCCTTATTCTGAATAGGATTCCTCGCAAGAAAAGGGAAAAGTTGACAGCTATGATTAGAGTACGGTAGATCCTTTTGTTCCATATAAGTTGCACACCTTGTGAGATGTCCACCTTTAAGATGAATAGCAGAAGGACGAGTCACAGTGCCTGGGGCAGAGGTTTCAGACAAATTTCTCCGGAATCCCTCCAGCTGCACACCAGACTACAGCTGGTTCATTTTAGCCAATAGAACCCAATGGGCAGCCATTGAGAACTGAGCTTTATCTAGGGTAAGGTAAAGGTAAAGGGACCCCTGACCATTTGGTCCAGTCGTGACTGACTCTGGGGTTGCGGTGCTCATCTCGCTTTATTGGCTGAGGGAGCTTCCGGGTCATGTGGCTAGTATGACTAAGCCGCTTCTGGCGAACCAGAGCAGCGCACAGAAACGCCATTTACCTTCCCGCTGGAGCAGTACCTATTTATCTACTTGCACTTTGACGTGCTTTTGAACTGCTAGGTTGGCAGGAACTGGGACCGAGCAACAGGAGCTCACCCTGTTGCGGGGATTTGAACTGCCAACCTTCTGATCGGCAAGTCCTAGGCTCTGTGGTTTAACCCACAGCGCCACCCACAGTCCTCTTTTGTATCTAGGGTAGCCAGATACAAAAGAGGACTGCAAAACAGGGAGTTCCACAGCTATTGCTTACACAACAAGCTCTACTTGCTGAAATTCACTCTTCTGCATGATTATTAAAGATTCAGGAAATCTCTTGCATCTGACCACCCTAAACCTCCCTGATCTGCACAGCCCATCCATTCATTGGTATGGTCCTATGGTAAATTCAATTTCCTGGAGTGTGAGAAAAAGACAGAACTTGCCTCCCCTCTCTTTCTGGTTTAGAAGACCATCTTTTGCCTTTGGATGGAGGAAGATAAAAAATGAGCAGGTGCTCCAGGAGAATCTGAGGTGGATCCCTATTCCACTCAATGAACAACTCCAGGTGCTGCTTTTGCCTGGAGTTGCCCCATCCATTATGGCCTCACAAATTGACATCACTAGGGTTAAGATGTAGGCCTTCATCACCGCAGATACAGAAAGAGAGGTGAGCCTCAAGCTGTTCAGAATTGGTCTATTATTGCAGAATAAAAAGCCCAACATGCTTTGATTAAAATCTTCCTCGGGGGAAATATAGTCCAATGTTCTTTTTCTTCCAAGATAATTCTCTTGGGATATTTTCTGTGAAAGGATTTCCACCCTCACAACAGTGGTTGCATTTCTTTGGAATTCCCTTCTAAATTCTGCTTTGCTTTTACAAGAACTTCTTATGGTGCTTCTGGTTTTGTTTTAATGAGTTGAATTTCTGGCTTTCTTGCATTTGCTATATTCATTTACAGTGCAATCCTCTACACGTCTACTCAGAAGTAAGGTTCTTTCTTACTCCCACATGCCCAGATTTATTAATTTTTTGTGGGGGTGGGAGGAGAGAGAAGAAAAGTGGGTCATGAATATTTTAAATAATAAATAAGCCACCTGGATCTTAAGATCTGAGAAACAGCTTCCTCTCTTACATAGCATTAAATTAAAGACAGCTATAATGGGCTTGATGTTCTTCAGGTGTTTGGGACTCCAGCTCCCATCAACTCCAACCAACATGATCAATGTTCAGGGATGATGGAAAATTTAGTCCACAACATATGAAAGGCATCTCATTTCCCAGCCATGCTTTAAGATCATCATGCTTGATGGTCAAAGAACAAGCTCCATGGGAGGAGAAATCCATGGTTTGGCTCTCCCAACATGAGTGTCTTCTAAGAACAGCCAACCCCCCTCCCCCACCCAAAAAGGCCATGGTGTAGGGTGGGGGGCGCGGAGGTTTAACCTATTTCCCCACTCAAACTCATTGCCTCAACAACTTCTATTTGCCACAGAGGGCAAAACATTGGCTAATATCAACTCCAGAGTGCGACAGTTTGGTCTGGAGGCATGGAATGAGAGGGAAGGGTTAAATCTCCTCCTGTTTTGCCACAGCCCCAGACTAAACCAGGAACTCCAATGGGTACTGTCAGAGTATTGAAAAATTAGACCAGGTGATCTGACCGCAAGCTTCCCATGTGATGTGGGACAAGAGAAATTGCACAAGAGGCATGGATGAGAGATGTCCAAGTTTTTTTTAAAAAAATCTTATTTATTGATTTTTCAAGCTGCCCATTTTCATCCTAATCAAAGGAAAGGCACAAGAGGAGCCTACTCTGAAGCAGAGAATCTGTTCCACCAATGAGCTTGCTTTTTTATTATAAGAATGGCTTAATTTTGATGGGATATGGGGAAATCCCATTTACCTGTAGCTTTAGAGTTCAGCAGACATCAGTATAGTCTTGTGTTGCCATACATATCTGGAATACTGCAGCCACAAGCATTGTCTGGGTAGAAACTGGTGAAATGTCCGGGAAAATCTTCAAAAATAGCTGTCTGGATTTTCACTTTTTGCAATATGGCAACCCTAGTATAGTGTCTCCCCCTCTCCCTCTCTTTCCTCCTTAATTTGTTAGGAATCGCTGTGCTTAACGCTTGTTCTCGATATCTGATTTTTGTATTGAATTGGAGTAGTACAAACAATGGGCACCAAGAGTCACTGCAGTAGAATCCTTGGGCGTCTTTTATACTCTTTTTAACGGAACAGAGCCAAATGGTAGAAATTAATTTCCCAAACCACTTGTCCTTCCTCTAGCTAATTGGAATTAACTGATGGCGTGCCAGGAACCAGAGGTGTCATCGACTGCCTGCATTCCTTGCTACCTCCTCCTCCATTTCTGATCTGTTTACTTGCTCTTTGGCTTGCCAAGAGAATCCTTGAAGCTAATAAAACTCAATCAGCTATCTCATGCCCTCCAACATTTCCCAGATGAAAATGAGGGCATTGATGTGCTTGTAACACTTCCTCTCACACCATCAACTGCTGCCTTGAGTGTTACCCCATTCACAACTGCACTTCGCTAAAAGCTCTTCTCTGCCTGCTCTACGTTTATTCTGAAAATGGCATCCCCAAGTGGATTTCCCCCCAGATATACCCTAAATATGACAACATGATGCCATGAGGGTATTTCCCCTGTCAGTAGGAAGCAATTGTCAGTGGGTGCCATGAGGCAGAACTTTGGGGCAGAAGTCAAGGGCTCTCAAATGCATCAGTGATGGTATCAGGGTAGGACTTTGTGGGAAGAAGTCTGCTTTCCATTGTGGTGTCCACTACAGGGGGCCCAAGATGACGTGAGCATGATGGAAACCAGTAGGCAAAGTTCTGAGACATTATGGGAACATAATATAAGGCAAGATCAGGACTGTAGACTGGGAGAAGAAAACAAGTTGTCTTAGCCTTGTTTTGGAGCAACTGGCAGAGCTTCATCATCTGGACTAGGTAGTCAAGATGAAAGTTCCATCCTCAGAGTGCTGTCTCTCTTCTGTTAAAGGGACAGTGCATTTTTCCTGCAGCTGTTGGTTTCCTCTAGGCCAGGCATAGGCAAATTCAGCCCTTCAGATGTTTTGGGACTACAGTTCCCATCATCCCTGACCAATGGTCCTGCTATTCATTTGCTTCTTGTGTTAAGAAAGTAATACTGTGTTCTGTCCTTAGATGCTGCTGTTGGCTGAATGAGTTGAGGACCAGCCTTAGGGGTTGGTGAGCTAGGCACTGTTTTGAATGCCAAGCTGAAAGGGGTACCAGTCTGAGTTTAGTGGCTTGGTCATGAGTGAGTGAAATTGGGTGGACAAAAGAGCAGTGGCTTTAACCTCCCCCTTCCTGTGCAAGTTATACACATTGTTTAGGTAAAAAAGAATTTAATTTCCATGATTAGCTTTAAAGTGTGTTTGAGTTTTTCTTAAAATCATTTGTTCAAGATAAAATCAGCACCATAAACACAGCAAACATAATGCTAATAAAATTTACAAAAAAGCTGTAAGAGGTCCCATTTCAAAACTGCGTTGTTGTTGTTGTCACTTTTATTACTTTCAAAATACAAACACCTTGTGCAAATTGCATATAAAGACAATGTAACAGATCCAGAATACCCTGTTGAACTGATAAGGAATGATGTCTTTGATTCCAATAATTAATAAAAAGTTTTCCATTCCAAAGCAAATTTTGTCAAGGCTGTCAATCTACCTTGTCTAAAATGACAAATAGCACTTAGCTGGTACATCAGCAAAGACATGCAGGGTGGCAGCAAAATTGGATCACACTTAGCAGGATTTTCGTCTATGTTTTTAATGTTTGTAGTATCCTATTTTGGGTATGACAACCAGAACAGTATGCAAGCATGGTCACACCAGTGATTTGTATAACAGCATTATTATATTGGCAGTTCTTCTTTTCAATCCCTTGGCTAATTATTCCAAACATGGAATTCACAGCTGTTGCACAATGGGTTGACATCTTCACTGAGTTGTCCCCTACCAAAAAACCCACCCTGTATTGTTATAGTGTGCTTCCACTGCTATGTGAGCTTTGGCTTGTGCAAACTGTATTACGGTACTGAGAAATCAAGGTTTCAAACAATGTTGCTCTTGATGGATAGGAATGATGGGAGCCTCTTGTCCACCAGAGTTGATCACAAGCACATTTTGATATATTCAGCTTTGAGATGCTATGCTCCTCATTGGCTGTTCCAACTCGAAGTGTCAGGAGAATTTGTAGTGCTGCCCAGACATTTGGGAAGACATCGCTCACTTGGGTGTCATCGATGAACTGCTTGTAGGGCATCTCACGGGAGCAGTAGGACCTACTTGCTAAGTCGTACAAGTTGGCTTTTCAAATAGGGTGCTATTTATTCTATGGCCAGCCCTGGATGAGGCATTTGACTATAGATCATGAATGAGGACTCTGTAGTCCTTCAGATATCATTGGGCCCCAACTCCCATTGGTTCCGGCCAGCATGGCCAAAGGTCAAGAATAATGTGTTGGCTATTTGTGATAAAATAGACGTCTTACACAAGTCTTGAAGATAAATCTTTACTTGTCAGGTTGGCAAGAGTTGAACAACAAGTATTACACACACAGAGACACACACATGCACACACAAATGCAATGTGTTTTTTCTTCCTTGAACCCAAGAGAGGGTTTAGTCCTTCCCCCCAAAAACCCTCCTTCATAGCAGTACATAAGGATGGACACCAGCTTGCCTGTCTTCACAAACTCCTCCAGACAGCATCTCCTTGAAGTCACCACACTTCCACATTCTCAAAGAATCAACTAACAGAATAAACAACTGACTCTCAACTGCCAACCGCCACCTCGTTTTCCCCAAACCATTTATTCTTTGTAAAAGGTAAAGGAACCCCTGGACGGTTAAGTCTAGTCAAAGGTGACTATGACTTTGTCGCTTCAGGCCAAAGGAGCTGGCGTTTGTCAGCTTCCTGGGTCATGTGACTAAACTGCTTCTGGATGGAAGCCAGAGTGCACAGAAATGCCATTTACTTTCCCGCTGCAGTGGTGCGGTGCTTTCAAACTGCTAGGCTGGTAGGAGCTGGGACAGAGCAATGGGAGCTCACCCTGTCATGGGGATTCTAACCGCCAACCTTCCGATTGGCAAGCTCAAGAGGCTCAGTGGCCTCAGCACCACTCGCTCCCTTACTTATATAGCATAAATGGACTGCATTGCTCCCCTGAAACTCCATCCAACTGGATGAGAAGGAGCACAGCACTGATGAGGTCAGCACAGTGCAAATGTGATGGCAGAGCCCATCTAGGGTTCCTGATAGTGCCTTTGCACTATGACAACCTTGCCACATCCTTCCTCTCCTCTGTCTCTGTATGCTGCAGCAACACAACAGAATGGACATCAGGTGAGTTATGCAGTCTCACCCCATCATCTTTAATTGGTATGTAGAGAACATGCACATTTTAAAATCAGAACTCACAATTAACTGTTTCCATACTCAAGTACAGTGGTACCTCGGGTTAAACCTCGTTCCGGAGGTCTGTTCTTAACCTGAAACTGTTCTTAACCTGAAGCACCACTTTAGCCAATGGGG